TTACTAAGGTTGTGTGATGCATGTTTTATGGCCAATTTTTCATTTCCAACTCAATGGTGTTGGTTATAAGACTATCAGGTACGGCTTAGGTCACTTTCTGGCGAAGTGCAGGTCAAGGTCAGGTCAAGGTCAGGCCAAAAAAGGTCAAATTTTAAAGTTGATAGTTTTGCATAAAATGGGTAATGATTCGATGCAGCTCGTCACGGGGAGTCTAATGGTGGTCTTTGTTTTGCGCTACGGGGTCTAGAATTGCTAAAAATTGAGTTTGAAAATTTGACGTCATCAATTTTGAACAGTTTTTTCGCTATAACTTCGCCAAAAAGAGAGGTATCAATCTCAAATTTGTTATGTGGATGGAAGACGGTAAGGACTATCACATATATTCCGGTTTTTGCGAAATTCAAAAAACTTTTTGGATTTTTCGATTATTATATCCAAAAAAAATATTTTTTGATTTTTGGGGGTCAAAATCCAAAAATTTCAAAAATCCGAGATAGCAGTTTTGTAGCCCTGTTCATTCTAAATCTTTTATGTCTTAATCATTTTTCTGTATTTGCAAAGCTATAGGCCTGACAGCTCTTCCCGCCAAACCCTTTTTTGGGTCGAAAACGGCAGAACATGACGTCACTCTGACGTCATTTCCGGCCAACCTATCATAGCCTTTGGAAAACTTTTGGTCACAATGTGTAAAATTGATGTCCGGGAGGGTACTGAAAGTTTGGTGACGATCGTCGGCGCAGCGGTTCTGGAGATATATCGAAAAGTCTGGAGGGGGGGGGGCAAAAAATAGCCCCCCCCCCCCACCAGGTCGCGGGTTATGAGAAATGGCCTGGTCGTGCGAGGGTTAACTCTTTTACTATTTGACTAGAACATCGCAAGGTTGGCAAAACCTGAAAACTCGTGCTCATTTAGGTACAGGTCCCGCGGGTTTTAAGCGTAGGTTTTGCCTTTCCGGCTATATCTTTTTGGTCTTCAGCTTTGTAGGCTTGAAGATGTGACCTATTTATTCGTATAGCTCCCTTCCATGATCATGGAAAAAGGTTTGATCGTATGCCGGCTAGTTTCGGAGAAATTAAAAGAAAACATCAAAATTCGCCGTTTGGGGCATTCTGACCGCGGCTTCCCTGCAGTCGCCTATGACTACAGTGGTGCCACCCAACGGGTAGGACGCTGAAACACAGAGGCATGAATGAATCCAGCGCGTGGTGAACGGTGGATAGAGGCGGGACGCGGCAGAGGCTATCACTGCGGCCCGCGCAGGGCGTCCTTGGACAGCGGACGAGCCTTCGGGCGGTGAGGCCAGAGGTCACGACAGCCAGGCGCTGTTTGGCATGAAGGGAGGGAAGGCGCTCGCCTCCGCCAGCCTCGCCTCAGCCAACTTAGCCGGTGTGGTGGTAGTGGTGGTGGTGTGGGGGGGGGGGGGGGCGGCAGGCGAGAGGGGCTAGAACGAACGGGATAAAATAGAATGGAAATGACGTGCCATGTCAACTTACAATATTGTTTACCTAATAAGCATTTATTAACATTACGGAAAACTCACCACATTAAATTGAGAAATATACAGGAGATGTTTTTTATCGATGTTACCGTTTTCTTTTAATGGAAACCCTTCTTCTTATTAGGGGTGATAAAATGAACCCCTCTCCTTGGTTTTCCTGAATAACTTGCGTTTAAAGTGGCGGATAGCAGCGAAGCTTTCAGTGCCGTGAGTTATTTTTCTCACCATAAGTAAATAAATACCCATGCGGTCAGGAGTCGGATAAGTTCAGGCCATCTGCAATTGAAAGTTTACACCTACCCTGAAAATTTCATGACCTTGACCAAAATGATCTTTGGTCTGTGACCAGTTTCTACATAGAGCCCATTATAGCCCAAAATTCGGCGAGTCAGGTCTCATTAACCGTTCGTTTCTAGACTTAAGATTAGAAACGTCCGCAACATGTGAAATTGTGTTTGGTCCCTTGTGTCTTATTTGGCCGGGACCAGCGGAGCAACTCGGCCAGTGCCTTCAGGGCTGCTTAACTACAAATTTGCCGATCTGCGGAGCGCATGGAGCCAATCTAGCCAGGTTTAAAACCACTAGGAATGGCAATGCGGCACAGCCAATTTTCAAGGTTTCCGCGGACCGCGCCCATAGAATATCTGCTGTTTAGCTAGGCCGGTTTCCGGTCACATGGCCTAAAGGCGAGGTCACTAGCGATGGAACTGGAAACACGTTGAACAGGCTAGCTGTGAGAAGGATGAACGTTCATTTTAAATCCGTGCATTGTCGCTTAATACCTATATTTACCGACCGTTTTCTAAAAAGGCTAATTTCTCTCTCTCTCTCTCTTCTCTCTCTCTCTCTCTTCTCTCTCTTCTCTCTTTCTCTCTTTCTCTCTTTCTCTCTTTCTCTCTTTCTCTCTTTCTCGCTCTCGCTCTCGCTCTCGCTCTCGCTCTCGCTCTCGCTCTCGCTCTCGCTCTCTCTCTCGTCTCTCACTCACTCTCTCTCTCTCTCTCTCTCTCTCTCTCTCTCTCTCTCTCTCTCTCTCTCTCTCTCTCTCTCTCTCTCTCTCTCTCTCTCTCTCTGTCTCTCTCTCTCTGTCTCTCTCTCTCTGTCTGTCTGTCTCTCTCTCTCTCTCTGTCTGTCTGTCTGTCTCTCTCTCTCTCTCTCTCTCTCTCTCTCTCTCTCTCTCTCTCTCTCTCTCTCTCTCTCTCTCTCTCCCTCTCTCTCTCTCTCTCTCTCTCTCTCTCTCTCTCTCTATCTTATACCGAAAGCTTCATAAAAGCTCACGACAAAAACTTCCAGGCAGGTCTAGACCCTTCCGAATATTGGGTTATTAAACTGACTTGGAAGGTCAACGTATGACCTATGATCAACGAATGACCAATTATCTATAAATTGGGTATCATCGGCTTCCTCTCGTCACGTGCAACATGCTCCTTCTTTTCAAGAAGCTCTAGTTTGATCAAAAGCCGATCAACTGTGGGGTCTGATCCATCCCCGCCCAAACGTTAGCGCCTGCGAAAACGCCGGTATGGGTGCGAGTAATGGCATATTCCTATACAAACAATGTTATGTTTTGCTTTTTAGTGGCTTACATCGATTTTGTTCTAAAAATAACGCAAAAATAAGCATACAGTGATGTTACTTAAACTTTTACGCCTAGTTTCCTTTTTGATAATACTGCAATTTCATTCATGCAACATATTTCTTGGTCAGTATTGTGACAAAGTTTTGGAAATATAGTGCGGCAGAACACAAAACTTTGTTTTGAAACAACCTCCAGCCTCAGCAGGTCACGGTCAACCCTCGTCCCGTTGGGGGTTGGCAATATAGCCCCTGTGTAATGTGTATTTTCCTGAATAGCAGGAAAACGGCGGCGCGCAGCCCCGCCAAATTTTCAATAGCTTCCCGGGCATCAATTTGACACCTTCACACACAACTTCAAGTCTTAGGTTACCTTAGGTCAGGAGTTATTGAGGTCGAACTGAGGTCATGTTCGAGCAAAAATGAGCAAAAAACATTAAATATTGAAACGCTCACAAAAGCTACAGTTAACAAGCAATTTCCAATCTCTCTATCTGATCGTGTAGAAAAGACGGTGCTACAAAACTGCAATCTGTGATTTTCAAACTTTTGAGCTTTTGACCCCCCAAATTAAAAAAAAATTGGTATGAAATAACAAAAAAAGTTTTTCGAGTTAAAAAACGGAATATATATGATAGTCCCTGCTCTCTTCGAGCTACATAACAAATTGTAGATCGATACCTCTTTTTGGCCTGGTTATAGCGAAAAAGCTGTTCAAAATTGATGACGTCAATTTTTTAACTCAATTTTTAGCAATTCTAGACCACATAACGCAAAACAAAGACGACCATTAGACTCCCCGTGACGAGCTGGATCGAATCGATACTCATTTCATGCAAAAATATCAAATTAGAAATTTGACCTTATTTGACCTGACCTTTACCTGACCTTCACCAGAACATAACCTAAACTGGCCCCAAAGGTTGCCTGACCCACATAATCGCATTTGTCATGTAAAATGGACCAGAAAACATGCATCGCATAATAGTTATCTTCATATTGTGACCTTCAGTGACCTGACCTTTGTGACCTGACTTGGTATCAGTGACCCCAAATAGCACAATATGTGTTTGACGAACAATGCCCCATCGAAAATTGTCATTCATTGATTCCTTATCGATGAATGGCATGCATTTTACTCGATTTTACAACACATTTCTTGAAATTGCCTGTAAACGGTGAAAATTCGACATTTGACCTGACCTGTGACGTCATCGGTTTGACCGAGGTCAATGAAATTGAGCCAAAAGGTAGTTCCTCGTTGGGGCCATCCAACACCGTTTGCTGCTTGTTGTTATTTTGCGTGGTTCTCGAGATCTTAGGGGGGGGGGGGGCAAAATGCTCCCCCCCAATGGGACCGACGCTCGGGAGACCCTAAGGGGGCGCGGGTTAAATGACAGAACTGTTCCCAAGATAAACATTACAGTCGTCTCCCGACCTCGACTAAAACTTTTGACGACTGCCTATGAATCGGCACGATGCCGGCCTACCCCGCCCGCTGGCTACGGGTGACCTTGACCCTTCAATGCCGATTGGCCAACGGCCGAGGTCGTGCGCTGGTCAGCACGCAGAGAGGACGGGATGCGGTACTGCACATTGTGAGTGACCTCTGACCTTTCCCCGTCCCCTGACCGCATGCCGTGTCGCCGGCCCAGACGATAGAAACCGATTTTAGCCTCTACGCAGGCTGCCACTATAACTCTTCCCTCCCCACTTTACTATGTGCCGTAGTACGCGCTCGCGAGTAACTGGGCGGAGCAAATGGTCACCGATACAGAGGCGGAACTGGTTGCCCTCCCGCTCGCCGAACGACCTACCGCTAAAACCCGCGAGACCTGTACATACCAGTAATTGGCCAAACCCTTTTGTCTAGCCCACACGTACTGGTTACCATGGTAATACGGTAATACCTTCCGTCTGTCTCACCCACCTCTCTATAGCCGAGTTTGGCGCACACCTGGCGCGATTTCTGCTCGTTCCACATTCCCTGAGGGACGGCGACCCATCGTCCACGCACACGGACTAGAAGATGGCCAGAGGCATCACAGCGGGGCGCGCTGAGGGTCACAGAGCCCGGTCACAGAGGTCATAGAGAGGTCACAGAGAGAACACGGACCAGAAGATGGCCGGAGGCATCACAACGGGGTGCCGCTGTGGGGTCACAGAGGGGTAAGACAGGGGTCAGATAGGGGTCAGATAGGGGTCACGGAGCGGTCAGGCAGGGGCCAGGCAGGGGTCAGACAGGGGTCAGACAGGGGTCAGACAGGGGTAAGACAGGGGTAAGACAGGGGTCAAACAGGGGTCAAACAGGGGTCAGACAGAAGTCACGCAGGGGTCACACAAGGGTAGACAGAGGCAAGCCAGAGGGGCAGAACACGGGTCACAGGAGTCAGTTGGGTATCAGATACTAGCTAAATGTCGCACAAAAGCCAGGTAGAGGTCAGAATGATAGTGGAATAGGCATCATGGCATCATGCAGACTTCAAACGTCTCTCATTCCTGGTGTTTTTTTTTTTCAAGTCATGTTTATTATTAGTACAACCTCTTCTCATTCTTCACATTCTCCAAATACCCCTCAAAAGGGTTTTGAAATCTCATGGCTCAGACACCCCTTATTTTATATTTTCAGTTACTTAGCACCTTCTGTTATAGCCACCTTACCTCCCTATCTTGCCCAGCTGTTCCATTCCCGGTCCCCTTCTCTCTTTCTCTCTCTCTCTCTCTCTCTCTCTCTCTCTCTCTCTCTCTCTCTCTCTCTCTCTCTCTCTCTCTCTCTCTCTCTCTCTCTCTCTCTCTCTCTCTCTCTCTCTCTCTCTCTCTCTCTCTCTCTCTCTCTCTCTCTCTCTCTCTCTCTCTCTCTCTCCTCTCTCTCTCTCTCCCTCCCTCCCCCTCCCCCTCCCTCCCCTCTCCCTCTGCTCACCCGAAGTGGTTCTCGGACACGTTGAAGCTCAGTTTGCCGGTGTGATCGGGGGTGAGCGGCGGCAGGTGTTCCAGAAGACACAGACAGTGCTCCTCGTCCTCACCACCGGCGCACTGGTACGTGACGTCACACACCTGCGAGCGCTCAATCAGGTGCACCGTGGCGTCCCTGTGACGTCACATATATGACGTCAGCAGGGGACGGCGCACAGCTGGGACGCTCACTTTCACGCTATTAACGTTGCTATTAACGTTACCGTTACAGTCATTATGGTGGTTAGCATAGTTACCTTTGACTGGGATTCCCACGGTTTATGCCTGCGGTAATATGGCTGCGGTAACAAAAATGACAGCCTACAGAGCAAGAGCGTATGATCCAAGAAGCCCATGAATGTCCATTAGCACTAGTCATTGCCAGCACATACTTTTTAGTAGCATGGAAACTGATCCACCTCGTATTAGTACACAACATTGTTAGCACCAACATTCTGATAGCATGGAAACTGGCTGATCTCGTATTAGCACATTCCACTGTTAGCACTGTCACTGACTTCCCTATAGCAACCAATATAAACACCGGACACCCATAGCACCCAAAATTAGCACATATAACTGTCAGCACCGACCCACCTATAGCACTGGAACTGGTCGACCTCGTATTAGCACATAGCACTGTTAGCACCGACCCACCTATAGCACCGGAACTGGTCGACCTCGTACTGGCAGTCGAACTCGTCATCCCCGGTCTTACAGTCCACCTTTCGGTCACAAATGAGCTCCGGAGCCGCCAGCCTGAGAGGGGAGGGGATGGGAGGGGATGCAGGGGAGGGGTTACAGTCAGGCCAGAGGTCAGTTCCGGGGCTGCCATTCTCTATGGAGGGGTGAACAACGAAGGGCATTAACACTGGATAAGTGTAAACGCACATACATGGAGTACAAACGGCGTACATAGGTGGATACAAATGGAATAGTTATATGAGGCCAGAAATGGCCGAAGCCGATGTCTGAACGGGAAAGAGAAGACTGGTCGAAGAAGGGATGCATGTAATGCAAACAAATGTGGTATGTTTGCCTTCTCGTTATCATGTCACGGCAAATGCATTTGCCGTGACACTGACATCAAAACCATCCTTGAAGCCTTTCTTATAGTGTTCAGTGCTGATCAGTAACCTCGTACCCAGCCAAAACAAAAGTTCCTTGCGTGAATTCTCGTTTTCTTTTCCACCTTGCTCTTCCGCCCTATCCCATCAAAGGCCTTGCAAAGTCCAGAATATCTCCCCGTCCAGAATATCTCCGATGTCCTCCCCTCCGCTACCCTCCCACCAGAGGAATCCATCCGTCACTGGACGCTTACTAGTGGATATTTCCCTCCCCTGATATATCAACAGCTGAACCCCTACTATTCCCACTACTATCTCACCAGAGGAAGCCTCGGCAAGTGCAGACGTCCGGCTCGTCTGCACCGGACAGACAGCCTGCGCGGCCGTCACAGAACGCCCGGTAGTGCCAGCAGGTGCCGCTCTCCGAGCACTGGATCTGGTCCTCGGCACACTCTGAGAGGTCACAGAGGTCACAGAGGTCACAAAGGTCACAGAGGTCACAGAGGACACAGGGGTCAGTCAGATGTCACAGGGGTCAGTCAGATGTCACATAAGTCAGTCAGAGACCATTGAGGTCATAGGGGTCACATAACTCAGTCAGAAGTGAGGTCGCAGAGGTCATTCAGAGGTCACAGGGCACACCTGAGCCAGCCAGAGGTCAAAGGGGTCGCATAGGATATAGCTTACAAAGGCTACATGATACACTGCATCTAGTCCTGACGTCAAATCGCGAGTGTCAGATTTACCACCCGTATACGCAAAATCATAGAGTGGGTGACAAATGACATCATCGTAGCTGTCCAGTGACCACTGTTTGTCTGTGACGTCACAATAATGTGATGACGTCAGTTACTGACCGCACTGCCCGTCTGTGACGTCACAGGATGTGATGTTGAAGTCGCAGTCCACCTCATCCGAGCCATCGTCACACTCCGGCACGCCGTTACACACCTGTGGAAGGAACGAAAACAAATGTTAGATGACGTCATAGGACCAAGGCTGAATTACACGCGGGCACGCCGTTACCTGTCGATGAAATAAAAAAGCAAACATAAGATAATGACTTTATAAGACGAACAGACGTAAGATAATAACTTTATAAGACGAACAGACATAAGATAATGACTTTATAAGACGAACAGACGTAAGATACTGACTTTATAAGACGAACAAGTTGACAACAGTCATTCTACTCAAACGCTGTGTTTGTCAGTCACATACTACCAGCGTTTGAAAATCGGTTCACTGGTGAAGGATGGGGACAAGGCCCAAAAGATAGGTACAGATGTGGGGTGTAGCGTCCCACATTATCTCACCTGGGTGGGGTGTAATGTGGGTGTAATGTCGCAGACTATCTCACCTGGGCGGGGTATAATGTGGAGTGTAATGTGGGTGTAATGTGGGGTGTAATGTCCCAGACTATCTCACCTGTGTGGGGTGTAATTTGGGGTGTATTGTGGATGTATGTGGGGTGTAATGTCCCAGACTAGGTATCTCACCTGGGTGGGGTGTAATGTCGCAGACTATCTCACCTGAGTCGGGTGAAGACACTGTCCCAGCTGACACCGTTGTGGGGTGTTATGTGGGGTGTAATGCAGGGTGTAATGTGGGGTGGAATGCGGGGTGTAATGTCCCAGACTATCTCACCTGTGTGGGGTGTAACGTCCCAGACTTTCTCACCTGGGTCGGGTGAAGACACTGTCCCAGCTGACACCGGTGTGGTGTGTAATGTGGGGTGTAATGTATAGCGTAATATGGGGTGTAATGTGGGGTATAATGTGGGGTGTAATGTGGGGTGTAATGTGGGGTGTAATGTGGGGTGTAATGTGGGGTGTAATGTGGGGTGTAATGTGGGGTGTAATGTGGGGTGTAATGTGGAGTGTAATGTGGGTGTATGTGGGGTGTAATGTCCCAGAGACTATCTCACCGGGGTGGGGTGCACACACTGTCCCAGACTATATCTCGCCTGAGTGGGGTGTAATGTGGGGTGTAATGTGGGGTGTTATGTCCCAGAGACTATCTCACCTGGGTGGGATGTAATGTCCCAGACTATCTCACCTGGGTGGGGTGCAGACACTGTCCCAGGTGACACCGGTGCCCAGTACACAGCGGCTCCGACATGGCCACTGCCGGCGGGCAGCTGACAACACACAGACAGACGCCAGTTAGGGAATCAGACAATGAAAACGAGCTCAAAGTGCGGCAAACTCAGAACGCTGGCCGCAGCAGCAACGACACCGATGCATGTGTCATCCGGCAAGCATGCATCCGACGATGTGTCAATCAGTCCTCGCTGCAAACAGCTGACATGCTAGGGATACACGAGTCCGTAAGGTTACCGATTTCTTTGCCTACAACTCCTAATGTAGGTACTCGTAATAAACAAAAATGTGACGTGAATAAGCTCCATTCATATTTAAAATGAGATCAAAGTGGATACCTCAATACAAAACCTCTTGTTGTAAAGGACATTCAGATTTCCGTGCTCCAGTACGTGTGGCAGCTGAATCCCGCACCCTCCCTCCGTACCTCTCGAGGAGCTCGACCCTGAAGATCTCTCCGATTTCTGGCGGCGCAGTCAGCGAGATGTTCAGACAGGTCAGCTGACGCTGCAGGTGGTGCGGAGACAGCCGCGGCCAGCTGGACGGCCGGCGGAAACAGTGCGGGCCCTGCTCACGGAACACGGCCATCGCGTGCCACAGACGGTCCGCCGACTGGCACAAGATGGCGCCCGACCACACACCGCTCGTCTGTCGGAAATGGGGACAGCAAGGCAATAACTAGGGGACAGATGGCCAGAGGACTGGCACAAGATGGCGCCCGACCACACACCGCTCGTCTGTCGGAAATGGTGGACATATGATTGAGCTACAATACATACTCCAGTTTAGCGCGGTTTGAGTCCTCATCTTAGTTCTTACACACCTATTTGTATTCACATATAAAGGTAATCTCGTACACCTATTTCTATTTACACCCACAAACTTACGGACGTTACACAACTATACTATTTACACACACGCACGCACGCACGCACACAATGAATGGTCCCTGTCTTTCACACTTTGTTTTCACCTGCCCCGTACGGCCGTACGGTCGTTACACTACCCTGTTCTATCCTTACCTTACAGCTGGCCGCTGTGGAGGGCATCACGCAGAGGTGGTGTTCGGGGCACACCTCCTTTACGGTGAGTTTGACGCTGGTCACCGCATCCCCGTCCCAGCCGACGGCGTAACACTTCTGCAGCGTGTCCGGCGACGGGGAGCCGCTGTGGGGAAAGGCAGGGTTCCATGCAAAAAAAAAAACAATAAAAAGTTACGAAAGATAATGTAGCCTTAAAGTAAAAACATATTATGGAATATCAGCAAAACATCGCATGTGTCTCGCACCACATCAGGATATATGTACTTTGATTATGAACGCACTGTAAAAAAGTAACCGCGATTAGCGCCCCGAGTCGTATTCTTCTAAGACGTGATTCGCACCTGACCATATTATAGAGCCAATGAAGCGCCCGAGTCGGGCTCTGTAAGGGATGGCTTCCACCTGGCATCTCCGGCGGTATGCACGTCTTTAGTGAACACACTAAGGCTCGGTTCCCACCTGTACGCTTTCGGCGGCAGACAGACTGGGTAAGTACCTACTCAATCATACCTCCACTAAAGCCCGGGTACGACCTGTCCGTTTTGGGCAGCAGACACGGCTATCAACGCGAGAGCTTATCTTCACTAGAGCTCGGTTCCCACGCGTCTGTTCCCGGCGGCAGACAGGCCGGGTACCTACATCTCTCCCCATCCCCACTAAAGCCCGGTTCCCACCTGGCTGTTGCCGGCGGCAGACAGGCTGGATAGACGTCCTCGCCGATCTCCAGCGGCCGGCTCAGATGGAGCAGTGTGACCCGACCGTCCCGGGACTGGAAGTCGACCCGCACTGTTTGTTGGTCACCAGTGGTGAACAGCTGACGGCGGTACTGGCCGGCGCGGACAGAGACGTAGTCTGTCGAGGGGCTGTAGAACAGAGAGGAAGATAGGGCATCTTACGACACTGGCCAGAGCGCGGACTGAGACGTAGTCTGTGGAGGCGCTGTGAAAATATGCGAGGGAGCTCAGGATATTTTCAGTGGAGAACGGAGGGCGTTCGATATATCTGCCGGTATTGGCCCGTGCGGACCGACATGTAGTCTGTGGAGGGGTTGTGAAACGGAGCGAAGGGGTTGGATGAGACAAATATGCAACCAAATTTTGTTTTATGTTCATGTTCAATACCACACTGTCTATGTATGTAATTGGCCAATGCAGTGTACAAGTTGCCTCCAAATATTTTTTCAGCTTTAGTGACGAGACCCTGGCCCGTGAGACAGGACCTGCAGTCCCAACCTCATATCTAGCTCTCACCGATGCGGGCACTGACAAATGGTATCGATATGGCGCTGAACTTGCACCTCCAGTGACCTGACCTGATGCCGGCCAGCACCTCCGGCGAGAGGATCACCCAGCTGGCGCTGATCAGAGTCCCTCCGCCGGCCTCCACGCCGTTGACGTAGACGGTGACGTACATCGGCCACACTCCGCGACCTGGAAACGTCAACGAAGGGTTACTCTGCGGATAAAGGTTCTATGCTGAGGGGTTGACTACAGTTGCCATGAGGAGAGCAATTTGCTTATCACTCAAAGAAAGCTTTAGGTGCAACGAGCTTTTCCGAAGTGTTGTTACATTGCAACACCACAACCAATCTGCAACCCCATTTCAGCTTACAACATCGCTTACAACATTGCCTTCTACATTGTTCACAACAACATTCACAGCATTGCTTCAATAAATATTACTGGACCTCTCAATTGGCCGTTGATTTTTTCTCACCGACCTGAATTGAGACCTGTGGAGCTCCCGGACCCACGTCCCCTCACTTACAGACCAGAGATGAGGCCTGCGAGGTTCATCAGAGTTGCATCAGTTTGTTTGAGACCTGAATCCGCTCAGCTAAAACAGCTGACCCTCATGAATGTTAGCATGTCCCTGATCCCTCTCTAGTGCAATGACCTGAGCTGGGCCTCGCCAGGTTCCTCAGCTGTTTGAGGACGGGCTCTACACTGACCTGAGCTGGGCCCGGCCAGGTTCCTCAGCTGTTTGAGGGCGGGCCGGTGGCCACAGACGGGCTCCGGGTCACCACAGGTCAGCTGCACGCCGGTGCAGGCCGACCGGCCGCCCGGCTGGGTGGGTGGGACACACGGTCAAACAGCGACAGACTCGGTGGGTGGGGCACACGGTCAAACAGCGACAGTGGGTGGGAGCTGGGACCCGGTCGGCTGGGTGGGTGGGACACACGGTCAAACAGCGACAGTGGGTGGGAGCTGGGACCCGGTCGGCTGGGTGGGCGGGACACACGGTCAAACAGCGACAGTGGGTGGGAACTGGACATGCAAACACACCGCATTAAAATTACCGAAGGGTCTTACGAGCCGAGTGGGAAAAATACTTCAAAAATGCTCGAGTTAAAAAATGATAAATTGATTTCTTACGGCAGCATCCATCCAACAACGCTATCTCACAATTGTTAAGAAATATCTAATTCATAGTTTAATCCCGTTTTAAAACATCTTTGAACATAGGTATTGCAAACTAAAAGCATCAGATAACTGCAATGCCACCATTCACCAATTTTCCGTTCAATAACACAGATGAAAGGCAGCCAATCCATCTTTACATTGCCCCAAGGTCATGAGTGTTGGTACCCCAACATCAATCAGTCAAACACATCTGAATTTCTAAACCTCCTGCCCCTACATCAGCACCTATCCCCGTGTTTACCTGTGCCTTATCCAGCTGCTGTAGCACAGCCAGCAGAGGATGCGCCGACCAGGAGCTGAGTCCGACACCTTTCAGCTCGCGGGCGACCCTCCGTCCCTCCTCAGCCGCTCCGGCGCTCCTCTCTCCAAACAACACGGCGTCCTCCTCAAACGCCTGCCCTCCAAACACCGCGTCTGCTTCATACGTCACCCCTGCTGCCTCTGGAGTGTTGCTCTCCTTCCTGATTTCGTGGTTACCGGGCTCGGCCCTCCCGCAGTCGTACAGAGGAGGTCCCAGGGGGTAGCGGGGCTGCAGCAGACCCGCCGCCACCGGTACGTTGCGCTCCACAATTGTGCCGCTGTGGGGAGACGGTGAGACGGTGACGGTGCTAGGCTAGACGATGACGATCGAATCGTTTATGTAGGTAAAAAAGAAAAATCAGTGGTGAGTGAGGCCAATTGAAACCAAATGCAAATGTAATGCCAAATGTAATGCCAATTGCCAAGTGTATTATTTACGGTACGTGTCTATTTCTATACGGTGAGTTATCATCACAGAAGACAATTGAAGTGAAAGCGTCACACTATAAAAAAAAACATTTGACCAGAAGTGGCATCCGATTTAAACGTGACAGTTTTAGTACGGGAGATAACGGTAATGATTCTGTAAGCTAGGTTCGCTACCCATCCCTGGTGGGGATATTAAGCTGCCCACCCCTAATGGAGATATAATTCGTTGATTTACCCACCCCTGATGGAGGTAGTTACAGATGACGTCAGAGTACCTCCGCACCCAGGAGTGGGACTCTGTGCAGATCGGAGACCACGTGGCGCCAGAGGCGTAACTGGGGAATGACAAGAACATGAGACCCGCACGCCGTACGTGCCAGCGAGAAAACAGTTCAGTCGGCTTAGCGGCAGCATTGGAGTAATGTTAAACAATTTTATGGAAAGTTACAATAAAGATAATCATTGGAAATGGTATAAATGAGTAACAAATCAACCACTAGGCCATACAAAGCAAGGATCGATAAGCAATGCTCAATTTGTAGAATATGGGCAAAGTTAAATGAAAGCATAACTATTGCCAATTTGTTAAAACTGAAGTAGCGACAGATGGTGCAAAACTACAAGAACGTATACACATCACTTATCATCAAGTCAACACATCCCCAGCGTTTCACATAACTCACTCGGATTTAATGGCCACGACCCCCGTCCGTCTCTTCAGCGGTCTTCCGAGCCGGTCCAGGTCGACCGCGCCCGAGTTCTGGTCCACCAGCGCCACTGAAAGAGAAGGAACAAAAGTATTACAATGGGTGACTGATGCGAACCCGTGGGCAGACTTGCAGTAACTCCCGGTGCCTAACTATTGACTCACCACACTTGGCCTCGTCCACGCCAAACTCGCAATGACTCAATTAACTCCCAACTGACCGCAGTAAACTTCGTCCTCGCCAAACTTCCAGTAACTCCCAGTGTCTAACTCCCAACTCACCGCAATTGGCCTCGTCCTCGCCAAACTCGCAGTCGGCCTGGCGATCGCAGCACCATTTCAGCGGGATACTCCGCTGGCTGTACGGACAGTAGAACTGACCGGCATCCGGCGGACCTGGTGGGTATCAGTAGACAGAGGGTCACTACAAACCGATACGGACAGTAGAACTGACCGGCGTACGGCGGACCTGGTGGGTAATGGGTATCAGTAGACAGAGGCTCAGTACAAGCCGATACGGGTTCGGCGGACCTGGTGGGTATCAGTAGACAGGGGCTCAGTTCAAATCGATATGAACAGTGGAACTGGCCGGCGTCCGGCGGACCTGGGAGCGAGCGGAGAGCAGGTCAGTGAAAACCGAGGCAGCCTCGATCAGTGCTTAGCGAAATACATTTGACTTCATTCTAAACTGCAAAAAAGTAATTAATAACGTTGCTTCTCAGCACGTATCGAACGCATACGAGCTCAAGCCCATGTTATTTACAATTACATTGTATGATGTGGTACGCCAGCATACCAAAATCATTCGAGATGTGCTAGTGCATGTATGCATCGTAAACATCGGCAAAAATCCGGCTGTTCATGAAATGGCTAAGCATTACGTGGAATATTATGAGACGGATACAAGATATTCGGGTGGACGTATTTCATCAGACTTGTATCTTTTCTATTTTTGAAGGGGCATCGAAAAGTCTCTGCGGAAACGCGTCCGCCCGAATGTGCTGTATCCGTCTTATGAAATATACTTGTATTTTCCTACTCAATTAAATTACGTGGAATGCTGGCAAATGCTGAAACTTTCGTAAATATACGCGCGTTACAGCGAACGTCTGAAAATGTAAGCTACTTCACGAAATGCGCAGGCGGAGACCAGGCATTAGGCAATTGCTGAAATATGTTCGAAATTAACTGAGTACATATATTCGTTGCCTAGGCATTGCATGAAATGCCCCCAAGTGACGACCGATACTTCCGACCGGCAACGACGACGGAGACAGCGACGGCAATCGCTGAAATACTCAGCAGATAAATATTAGCGCTGAAATATTGACGCTGAAATATTAACGGTCGACATTAACTCACAGCAGAGCTCCTCGTCGGCTGCCTCTGGCAGGTCGATATGGCGGTCACAGACCCTGTCCGGGTGGTGTTTCACCAGGTAATCGAGCAGAGAGCAGGAGGCCTCGTCAGAGTAGTCCCCACACTGCGGCCGGGTGTCGCACCGCTGGGAGGCCGGCACGCACTGAGACACACTGGTGGCGAAATGGGGGGAAATTGTGGCAATTAGTGATTGAATGGGAGGACACTGTGGGAAGTCCAAAAAAACGAAGAAGACATAAGCCCCACTGGCGTGTTTAAGTCGCCCAAAAAGGTAGTTTGTGACGCCAAGCGAAATAGTTGACCCGTGCAAAACGTGCAAATTGTTATTGTTCAGAGGAAAACTCGCTCACACAGTCACAAAATGCATTATATTATCACCTGCTACATTGAAAACCGCTGAACTATTTCACATTGCATCACAAATATAGCCCACGGCATAAACATTATGTTAGTACCTATTTGACCTAATGCATAGCCCTTTTACATACCTGACACAGTGGAATTCGTTGTCAGTACAGTATAGCCCACTGCCGATCCGTTATAGGGTATTGACTATGGGCCCTAATATAGATCCCTGTAACACACCTGAGACACTGGAACTCGTCGTCCGTACAGCCCGCTGCCGATCCGTTGTACGGAGGCGGTCCGACGGGCGAAGGGAGAGACGGGGACGGAGATGGAGACGGAGACGGCTCTGTGGGAGGAGACAGAGACCGCGTCTCAGTGGAGACAGCAAGGTCTCGCTGGAGACAACACAACAGACTGTCACTGGAGACAGCAGCAGGCTGTCAGCGGAGACAGTGTCAGCTGAACGACAGACTAATAACCGCCAGCAGCCGTCACCAGAGTGACCATTAGCTACCCTGAATGGCAACTGAAGAAGTGAGTGTGATGAAAAAAAAATCACTATGCAAAACATAATGACCGATGACAAAATCGGAGAAGATGTTCATTTGATGCTCAAGAGTACAAATATTAGTGTATTTGCATCTCAAAATAATACATCGCATCAGAAATCTCCATTGCGCAATGAAAATACATACACTAATGACTAAAGAGACCATTTTTATTATGAAAATGCCGCTAAAGGTTTTGCCAGATCAGTTATAACTTATTCCTTACTCGGCGTAGTGGTGGTGGTCGGCGTTGTCGGTCTGTTCACTGGGAGAATTTCGTCACCGTTCGGCCCGCAAAACCTGGAAAAAGGAATGGGAGAACCTCGTGATTCATCAATGCAATGCAATGCAACAAACGGAGAATAAAAGCATCGCTATTATCGTGTCATTTGCTTAGTGATGTATAATTTGTTACAAAGACTAAAATAAGTGGGACATATTTTTAGCGATATTTGATAGAAAGGAAAACCGTCATATAAAAAAGTCAACAAAACTTTTTACTCATATCATATGAGCTAGCTTCGTAACGAAACAAATACCAATGGGCTGACGAAAAAGACACTGCATGGATGAGTTGACTTAGTTTTATTGGATCTGTGGCTCCAACTGAAGCGCCTACTTTGTCGAGGCCATCGTGTGAACGGAGAAATAGTTATCCGGATGCGCGTGCGTGTGATCTAATGACAGAGGCCATTCCTGCGTCAGGGGAGGCACTTGACCCCTCCTTTGTGCGACAATAGGTGCATCGGTGACTCAATACCGCTAATAAAAAACTCCCCACTCCTCACTCACCGTTCATCCTCTAGGTCGAGGCAGTCCACATGCTTGTCGCAGAGCTGAGACTCTTTGAGACACATCCCCCCGCGGAGACGACATAGACGAGTGGTACAGCGCTGGACAGGGAAACGGTCAGAGCCGACCGTGTCCACCGCTGGGGAAACATGGGGTTACTTAGGGTAACACCGCTGGACGGGGAAACGGTCAGAGCCGACCGTGTCCACCGCTGGGGAAACACATAGTAACACCGAGTAACACAGAGTAACACAATGTAACACCGCTGGACGGGGAATCCGGAGCCGGTCGGAGCCCACAATGCTGGGAAACATTATACAAACACAATCACGGGAAAGGGTAACGGTAACACGGTGTAACGCCGGTTCGACCAGACAGTGTCGACCGCCGAGGATTCTAGTAACACGTGGTAATCATAATTGCGACTCCTGGTGTACACAATCACCCCACTCACCTATCAGGGGGAGAATCCAGTGGAGAAAGTACGATACCCTGGTGTACACCCCGGGGGAGTTGGGCAGCGCGCAGCCCCGTCCGTGGGATACGATGCCATACTGTGTCCAGTGACCGTCTCCCGTGCTGCGGGAGGTCAGAGGTCAGGTCAGGGGCCAGGTCAATGGTTTGTGCTGCCGTGTTAGGACAACCAGGGGGCAGTTTAAGTGTAGCCAGAGATCGGTTACGGAGTCAAGGGTCATCGGAATTCATCTCATTTGTCACATAGTGTTATCCTATTGGTAACGAGACTAGGATAAATAACCATACTGATTGTCTTTTCATTGGCTCATGTACACAAGTTTGCCTGACAAAGAGTAATGCGAAAAAAGTAAGCAGCAAGCTCGTGTTCGTTGTAATTACGAAACTGCAAAGCCGCGCAGAACTATGCACCAAAATATGTAGCCCAGGTAATTGTCTCACCTACAGAGCAGCGGTCCGCCGCTGTCGCCCTGACAGGAGTCCTTGCCTCCCTGCCTCGGGGGTCTTTATCTCATTGTCTCACCTACAGAGCAGCGGTCCGCCGCTGTCGCCCTGACAGGAGTCCTTGCCTCCCTGCAGCGGTCCAGCGCAGATCTGGATCGTGATGTTGTCGTAATGTTCCGGGCAGAAGGAGAGCACCGGGATCTCCACCTCCATCAGGTCCTGGACTGTGGGGAGGGCAGGTGAACATTGTCAGTATAGCTTGGTCAGTCGCATGACGGGGCAGAATCCTGTAGCGTTTAGTGTGCGAGCGTGGTAGCAGGCATTCACAGCTTGCTGCCCCAGGTTGATCTTCACCCTCGCACGTGTAGGTGCAGTGGTCGGATGGACGCTCCCTCGTTTTTCGCTAATAATTCGCTCAAAAAGCGGTCGATCGCTAAAAAAGTACTTTATCCCTCGCCGGCCGAGGGGGGGGGGGGGAGGCGGGTGCCGCCCCCATATTTTTTCGCGATAGCTCCAAACAAGCTGGCGATAGACAGCTGAAACTTGGCATACCTGACCTTTGATTGAAGCCGGATCTTTTGACATAAACTGCATGTTCGGGTCAGGTCAGGTCACTGACCTATGACGTCTGCATATGCGAACATCTGCACGGTCTTCAGATGTCGCAATTTCGTAACCCCCTCACTGCCAGAGGAGCTTTCACAGCGAAATGAAACTTGCAGGATCTAGTATCCATTACGGGTCTGACAACTTGTATATCTCGGATTTTTTCCTAAAGGTCAAATGAGGTCAGGTCATTTTCGTGACCTCACCATTATAAGTCAATGGGGGAAAATGAAAACTGCTATTCTTGCACCGGGAACGATCTCCAACTATCTCAAGCACACAGAATCGTGATTTGATGCATTCCTTGCAAAGTTCTATGCGTCACTTTTGCAATATTGACCTTGCGTGACGTCATTTATGATGTCATGTGGGTCATATTAGTTTTTCGTCACGTTAGGCGGCACGGGCGGACATCGATAGCAGCGCCTCTATCGGTCACTAGGGAAAGCTGGGCTGTAGGCGACGAAATACCGGCTGAGTTGTCACACGTTGAATAGGTTTATAGCCATCCGTCTTGTGAAAAAGTTGAACTTTTGCCTTTAATATTTCTACAGGCAATTTTAGAAGTGTCTTCACATGGATTACAAAACCGTTTAGATTATTGTATTCACTTCAAGCCTTCCCTATTGTTCTTGATGATGCGGGAACTATTTCTAATTAGTGTTTCTAGCTTAGTAAAAGAACATACTGTGCAAACGATGAAAAAAGCATAAATGGAAGATTTTAAATGCAATTTTCTCTAACAAGTAGGGGAGAGCGGGGCCGGTTGAAACACGGGGTCAGATGAAACATGGCTTTATTTTTAACAGTATGCAACATATGGCGTTGCCGACACCACTGCACATCCGCGCTCGACCACTTCCTTTGTCAACGGCGTTTGGGCGGCGAACGGACGGTAATTTTGATTTGACACTTGTTTTTGTGTTTTTGAGGGGCGTTTGGGAGAAATCGTTTTTATGAATATTTTGTGATATCTCATATACCTTTGTTTGCTGAAAGAAGAACTCCTGGCTCCGGAATAAACCTTATTTGGCCCTTCATTCAGCATGATGCCGTCCCTCCAGCTCGTTTGACATGTGCTTTACGGCGCGTGCGAGATGGCGGGAGCGGATGGGGTCAATTGAAACGCTTCTCTGAGGGTCAGTTGAAACAGGGCCACAGGCCGTTTCAATGGACCCCGGTGACCCTTGCAATGGTTATTGTTCAGGGGCTGTAAACATTAAAGGAAATAGTCCACCTTTGAAATGAGCTTTTAAACTGAAATAGTAGTTTAATAGCCCAATTTTTGACCCCTTTTTCTCCAGCCTTTTGCTTGAAAGCACACTATAGCCTGAGATATTTCTCATTTTTTCTCATCCGCCCATTTTACCATAGTCTATGTACTTTATGTCACTTATTATGAGGAACCTTGCACTCTAAGCTTTTCAACGACCTATTGAATGTAGCATTTAGAAAAGTAAACCGGACAAAATATCTCCTTAATAAAGTGGCCTTAAAGAGGAAAACATCCCATTGTTAAGGATAGGTGCAATTGACCCCATGGGCTGGTTCAATTGACCCTCGAATCGGGGTCATTTGAAACGGGCGTAGAGCTGTTTTATAAGCTTGCGTTTGGCAGCAAAATATGTATGAAACATAATTTTACATATCTTAAAATAAAGCCAAAAGAGCATATTTTTTAATGGCATTGTGCATTTTTCGATATGACAACTAAATCTCGCTGTGCATGTCAATATATAAAAAGTGGTTCAACTGGCCCCGCTTTCCCCTAATGGTAAATTCTCTACATATCAAGGAAAATGTGCATGCTAACTGATAATTTAAAGTTCTTGGGGTCAGTTGTTTTCTTCTTTTCTTACGTCGCCCCAATGGCGTGTTTCTTTTTTCCAACCAAAGGAAGGCGCTGTACCCGAAGATGCTTCTTTGTAACCAAACCAAACAAAAACTAACATAACCTAACCTAACCTGACCTAACAACCTACAAACCTACAACCTACAAACCTACAACCTAACCTACAACGCGCCAAAAACTTCGGCCGGCAGCGGGATTCGAACCCTAGTTATCAAACCATGAGGCGAGTACGCTATCCACTACACCACTCAGCCGGCTGATCGGCTCTAGGTGTAAAGGCCTGGCTACACTATGCGTTTTCTGCGTGCGTTTTTGCAGGTTTGCGTGTTTTGCGTAATATCGTTCTAGGAAAAATGTTATAAACAATATAATTTTTACTTTGGTTATATACAAAAGCTAATATAACTCTTATTTAACTAGAATTTAAGGTGAAAAACATCACAAAAACGTAATATCGCTCTTTTTTCTAGAACGATATAACGCAAAACACGCAAACACGCAAAAAACGCACGAAGAAAACGCATAGTGTAGCCAGGCCTTAAGTCACTTTTCAATGACGCAATGGGATATTCTCCGTATAGCGCCTTCCTTTGGGTGGAAAAAAGAATTACGCGCCCCAATGGCCGCGAATACACTTGTGATAACGCCTATCGAATAACTCCCGATCGAATTGAGTTAGCGAGTCGGGAAATCCACCAATGGACTCACGAAGACCTGCCGAATCGAATGATTGGGACATGACCTCCTTCGACAAATGCCGTGACCTGGGGACGCTGACCTGACCGTGACCTGGTCAACACCCTACGTTGACCTCATCCAAACAAAGAGTATATCATTCGACGCGCCTGAGCAAGACGAACACGATGCCGTCAAAAACGCGGCTCTGCGGCCGTTTTTGCGAAGTTATTCACCAAAAACGGAACCGTACCTTGGGACACTTGACCTGGCCTCAGAGGTCACCGGTTGATCTAGGACCTTAAAATCGGATATCAATCTCTGCATCTCGTAACGGCGCACACGCGCGTTTTTTCCGCGACTCTCCTTTCCCACTCCTTCCCACTCCTTCCCCTCTCCTTATCCTCTCCTTATCCTCTCCTTATCCTCTCCTTATCCTCTCCTTCTCCTCTCCTTCTCCTCTCCTTCTCCTCTCCTTCTCCTCTCCTTCTCATCTCCATCTCTCTGCCTTACCTTCGGGCCCATCTTGTCTGGTCTGCCCCCATCCGACCACGGTACACTGAGAGCCCGGCTCCAGCAGGGGCTCCTCCTGTCCCGGCAGGCAGACGGGGGTAACCCACTGAGTGAGAACCAACGGCCGAGAGAGACGCACCAGCGCCAGGTCGTGGGCGTACACACGACTGTAACAAAACGGGGGTAACCCCCGGTCAGTATACCAGCGAGAGACGTACTGACTACTGACGATATATCGTGGGCGTATAAAACATGAAACAACTGTAACAAAACGGCATAAATGATCAGTTTTCGTCACCAAGTAAGAACCGAGTTATTGTAATGAGAATCAAACTGAAACCTCTTCACCTGCACATGATACGTGCAATAGGGTCGTCTGAATCAGTTAATTTACCTGTTGTAGTCGGGGTGTATGATGATGTGCGTCACCAACCGCGACTGTTCGTACGGCGCGAAACTGTGCCTCCGCAGCATCCCTGCCTGCACCTCGTACCGGTACTTCTCGAACCTGAGTAGAGGAAATTAATTATATGAATGTGTAATGGAAACACTTACACTGCATTTGTGCGAATAGGCGACGACAGAAATATAGTCACTAAACGTAAAAAACTGCTGGTAATCAATGATAAAAAATATAGGTAAGTAGGTACTGTTTTCGAATTCAAATCTAAAGAAGAGTGGATCATCACGCACCCTTTATCCACCTCGGCATTCATCTTCCTTTTGTCTCCATGCTAATTTTTTATCAGTGTAATCATAATCTCCTATCATCCCTCTAGGTACTCCCCTCACCTCCACCTCACCCCTCGCTCCCTCCATCCCTCCACCCCCCCTCACCTCTCGAAGCAGTGCGCCGCCGAGAGCACCCATCTGGCCGTGAGCACGGTGCCTCCACAGTTAAACACACCATCCTTGTAGATTGCCACCAGCCAGGGGTGCCTCCCCGGAGCGCTGCGGGCGCCGCCCACTATCTTTCCGTCATGTTCAGGTACCAGCAGGCGGTGGTGTACTCCGTCGGGCCGGCTGTGGTACACGGGTACCAGCTCCACGTCCGCGGGGAGAGGGGAGGGGACCGGAGGGAGCGGGGCGGGAGGGCCGGGACGCCACAGGTCCCACTCGGAGGCGTCCAGGGAGAGAGCAGAGCGGTCCTGTAGGGAGGAGAGCGGGGAGAGGGGAGGAGGAGGGAGGGTAGAGGGGGCTGATTGCGCGGCAGAGTTCTGTGGACGGGGGGAGAGAGAGAGAGAGAGAGAGAGAGAGAGAGAGAGAGAGAGAGAGAGAGAGAGAGAGAGAGAGAGAGAGAGAGAGAGAGAGAGAGAGAGAGAAAAAAAAAAGAGCGAGAGAGAGAGGGGGAGGAGCCTGTCAGTCTGCAGATGAATTACATTTTTTATCCCGGTTATATCATTTTATTATGTGTCGTATCGTGTATAAGGTCCGTCACCAAAGATGCCGCTATATTCGTCTATTGACTTCTTCAGCGCCGTTGTATCGAAACAAGGAAAAAGAAAACTTTATTGTGCCTTGTTTCCTTTCTTGTTTCTTGTTTCGATACAACGGCGCTGAAGAAGTCATGCCGCTATATGTTGGTTTTGGGTTGTTACAGCAGATTAAAATTGCTAACGAATAGTGATTTTCAAGCTAGAGACAGTTCCCGTGTACCTTGTTAGTCTGTGGCTCTAAAATCTCTTTATCCGTCTACAGTTACGACCCCTTGTCTAGCTCATCCCCAGCCTTTCTCACTGCCGTCACTGGTCCCACGTCCCGCCCGGACGTCAGGTCACTGGACCCGTGCCCAGTGCCCCTCCCCACGTACCTGACTGCGCGGCCGTCGGCTGGCCTCCCTGCCCGAGGTCAGCTGCCGCGAGCTGTGACCGCAGGCTGGAGGCGGACAGCGGACGTAGACGGCCGTGCCGCTGGAGCACGCCGCCGTGGCCGAGAACGTCCCCTCGAGCACGGCGAACGGGCCGCCGTAGCTGCCAGGGACCGCCCGCGAACCGGCCGTGGCCACGCCGCTGGGGAGGGGGGGGGAGGAGAAGTGAAGCGGTTATGCGGGCCAACATTGGATTAGGGATGTCGTCCGGTAAACTAGAGGTAAACGGTAAAGGCTTGCTGCAGACTGATGAACTCTTTGGCAAATAGTTAATGTACCTCCGTGTATGCAAACAAAATGCAGGATAATCAAATATCAAATCAAAGCAACGTTACAGTTTTGTCATATCGTTGGCTTCCCAGTCAGGGATATGCGGCACAGTCTAGCTTCAGGCGCAGACTTCTGCTGCCACCTAGCGAGAGAAGTATCTATTAGCAGTTGGCGCTTTGGTCGGAAGAGCTCCCCAAGTCCCCAGTTCATCGAATCATCGCCCTCGTCAGAATGCATTTATGAGTCAACAAGTCAGTAGTCACAGCATGCGATGCATTCGCAACTTTGGCATTTTTTTTTTCTAAATACCATAACGAGAGAAGTCTCTTCTTATGTCGTCAAACGCACTTTCAGAATAAAGGCATAATGCAGATTTGTCGTATACTCTTACGGCAGCCAATTCAAGCGCTGGTTATTGATACTGGCGCTAGGTGGCAGGAGCTGTCGACGCCTGATGGTAGACTGTGCCGCATGGCGCCGGATACAGAACAATTACTGCACGGGTTTTCGTCGTTGACGCGTTAATAAAAAGTGTCAGCAGCTTGCCATTTCGAAACTGCAAGTCTTTTTGCTTGCTTTATCTAAATTGGAACACATACATGTACATGTATAGGTATGCTCCCGGATGGCATTCTTATAGGTAAAGGTATACCTTAGAAAAAAAGAAGAAAAAACACCGACAGACAAACCATTATTCTCCTGCCAGCTGTTGGCTCCCATCTGATGTTGCCAACAAGGTAAACTAGCTACAGACTGCACATATCAGGGACTCTGTCCTCCCGCTGTTTGACACCTCAACTCACATGGTATACTGTCCGACGATGCCCTCGCACGCCTCGCTAGCCTGCTGAGTCATGTCTCTGCCATTGTGACAGACGGGTAGCCACTCGCCGGAGACCATTCGGTGCAGGAATCCGTGACTGGTGACCAGGGGGTACACCTGGGGGTAGCAGAGGGGGGAAAGCTGGTCATCAGGCGCACGCAAGTGGGTGATAGAGGGTAATAGGGGGTGGGGTTGACCTGAGGGTGGTTAACTGGGAAATGATAAAAGAAAGGGCACTAGGTGAGCCTGCAGGTGATGTGAAAGGATTAGGTTGGCGATTCAGCTCACGATAGCCACATAAAAACCTTAGCTTCAGCAGCACCTTGGCTTGTACGTAATTCCGAAGACAATTCTCTCCCGTCGTCGTTAAGTATAAATTGTTGCTTCTTTTCTCTCACTCTCGCCGCGACCGAAATCGCAAATGGCGGCAGGCCGATAAAGAAATTCCTGAACCTGTAACTCACTCTCGCTTACCAGCTTATTGTTATCACTCCCTCCTCCCTGCCTCTCTCCCCTCTCACCTGGAGAGGAGTGACGTCATCGCTGAGGTGCAGACAGGCCAGCTCGTCCCGTCCGTTGTCACAGTGTTCTACTCCGTCACATCGGTGTCGCCGGGGGACGCAGCGGCCACCGCGCAGGTGGGGCAGGCTGGAGCACGAGAATTCGCCCACCGCACAGCCTGGAAGAAAAGGGGGTGAGGTTTGGGAGTCTGGAGCACGAGATATCGCCCACCGAGCAGTCTGGAGGAATGGGGAGGGGAGGTGAAGTCTGGGACAGGCTGGAGCACGATAAGCCACCAAACAGCGCAGTCTGGGGAAAAGGCGGGGAAAGAAGAGGGAGCATAAACGTTACGCAACTGTTGATAAGTGATGTCAATTAAAGAAAATTGTGATACCGATACCAAACCAAACGCCAACAGGAACCGCGGGAAAATACCGAAACCGAACAGACTTGGAAATTTCAGGGAAACACCAACTTCTTACCAAATTCACAGCCTCTTTTACATTAGCAAGGATTCACAATACAATACCAACAAAATACCAAATCTGTTAGCCTCGAAATACCAAATACGAAGTCGGTATCGGTTTGATAGGCATCGGTATACCAAAAAATTGGTATCCGATTGACATGTCTACTGTTGATTCTACTTCCATGCAAATGTTGATAGGCACCCGCCGTCACACGTCACGGACTGACGTGACGTCACTCACCGTCGCAGGACATCTCATCGCTCTCGTCTGGGCAGTCGAAGTAGCCGTCGCACTGCAGTACGGGCAGCAGACGCTCGGCGCAGGCGCAGTCGCGCTCGTCGGAGAGGTCGGGACACTCTGCGACCCCGTCACAGCGGGCAGCGCAGCGCCGCTGCTCCCCCGGGCAGGTCATCGAGCGTGCCTCGAAACACGATGATACTGCCGGGGGGGGGGGGGGGGCAATAACACTGGTATACTACGAGGCAGTTTTATAATGATGCTCTGATTAAACATTTGATTATCCCCTTAAATATTTACTATGTAATCAATCAAGTAATCTGTTAACTTGTCAAACACAAATTGGTTACGAAAAATAGCTACCGTGCATGTTGCACAATGCACATGATGTATCAATGAAAAGTTTTATAACTACAGGCTTTGTTTGTTTGATATGTTCTATAGGTGTGGCACAAAATAGGATATTGTCGAATAAAGTTGAAAAAGGCAGCTAATCTCATATTTTTATCGATTAAAATATAACAAATGTCTGCCCTCAATGAGAATTGAACCCGCCCTCACCTCTTTCCTCCGTTTCCAGCATCCTTTTGGCGCTGTCCGCGGTCTTCCTCATCGACTTGGGCAGCCACTCCGGGTCATAAAACAGTTCCCAATCTGAACTCCGCGCCTTGATCAGAGCTCGGTCAAACACCGGATCAAGGCCACCGCTGACACCCAACCACGGGTCCAGGGCGGTCAGTGACCCCGACCGCGGGTCAAGGTCACCCTCCGGCACCGTGTGGCGGACGGTGCGGTAGGAGTCCGGCTTTGGAGGGCCGACGGTGGCATTTAGTGGGATCACGTCTAAAACCACAGGGATCTCCGACGGTGCAGAGTCAGGTTGGGTGTCAGTGTCCCTCGACACATTGTACTCGTTGAGCCAAGGCTGGAACTCCAAAGGAGGAGGCTGCTTTGACCAGTCGGCAGCGGGGAAAAACTCGACAACATCGTCAGGAGGCGTTGGTGTCAAAGCTACATCACCATTGGCTGACAGCTGGCGCTGAGCTGGCTGTTGATTGGCTCCCGGCCGATGATCAGGGCTCTGATTGGTTTGCGGTTGGGTGTCTAGACTCTCATTGGATGCAATTTCCGCTTGAGCTCTTTCATTGGCTCCCACTACTTGAGCTGTTCCTTCGTTGGCCTTCACGCTCTCGGCTGGCCTCTGATTGGCCGCTGGAGCTGGTGCCGGACTCTGATTGGCTGTTGCCGGTGACGTCACCCCGATCCACGGAGGCCGACTGGGCATCAGTGGGATGTCGGTATCACCGTTGGACCATCCTCCCGGAGGTCTGTGGTCTACCCAGGAGCGGGTTGGCGCCGGCGTCTGCCTTTCCGCCTCCTTTGTTGTTTCTGGTTCCGGCTTTGCCGTCCTCGGGGTCTCTTCCGAGTTTTTCTCTGCATCTGACACGCTCGTTTCAGTTGTGGAAGTATCGTCGAGTTTCCTTCCGGCTCCATTCCTAGGCAAGACGCCATCAGCGATCACATTTTCAGTTGTCTCACTCTCGGTTGTTACGGTGACGGTCGATGGTTTCCCGGAGTCGGCGGTAGGTGGCGGCACTGCGTTGACGCCAGATGGCGCAGCAGGCAGTGGTAGCAGGATATCCGATTCATTGGTAGAGGCCGCGCTATGGGACGCCCGACTGCCGTCGTTATTTACTGAAAATAACGGAAAATCTTATCATATTGACAGACTTTTAATGATAGTAAGAAAAGTAAGTTTGCACATAGGTACTCAGATATTACGCAAAGCTACATTTCAATTACATACTATACACCGTTTTACAGTTACCTAACTTGACCTGACTTGAACTTAGGTCACCGATATAACGAACAATACGATATATCCTATTTTCCAATTTGATACAGCCTTTTCCCTCATCAACCGCTGGGTTTCAAAGCAATTCAGAAGGCGGTGTAGCTGTTGGTTAGGGTAAGGCATTTCCTTTTTCAGGCGAGGTCACCTAGCATGGCCTCACCTGACATGACTTTTAATAAACTCGTTCTACAAGTTGTGCTGCACGAAATCACAACGCACAGTGTCACCCAGACTCACAGTGGCTGGCCAAAATTCCGACGCACAGTGCAACCAGTAGGAGGACGGAGACGAGCACCAGGCCAACGCAGCAGAGGCGGCGGCCGCGCGGGTCCGCCCCCGCCCCCGCCCCCGCCGCGGCGGGGCTGCAGTCAGTGTCATCACCTGTGGGAGGGCGGTGAGTGTCTCGGTGTCATGAGTAGGCCCATGATGAGAAGTGGCAGAAAAGGGGTTGTACGAAAACTACAAGAAAGTTTTTTAGACTGCACTGTTCAATAAAAAGTGCAAAATAAAGGAGTCGTGATTAATAACACTGTTTGATTTATGGCAAAAATATCTTACAACAGATACCGAGCAAGTAAAAAAAATGGATGAATGAAAATAGTTATCACTTGCAACATTGGTTTATAAGCAATCTTTTATTCAGATTAACGTAGAAAATCGCTGAAGGAATCGCCCACTGTAGCCACATTTGACGTAATTTGTTCTAATGACATGGACTCGGTGACCTGACCTTGACCGGTGCACAGCGCGCGGCGTGGTGCGTCTATTTATGATACAGCCCCAGTGACCGGTCACCTGACCTTGACCGGTGCGCAGGGCGCGCGGCGTGAGGCGTCTATTTATGAGACAGCCCCCCTGACCTTGACCGGTGCGTAGGGCGCGCGGCGTGGTGCGGCTGCTGGAGCGAGTCCTCCCCGGCGGTATGATGAGATGTTGTCCCGTGATAGGGTGCGGGGTCATCTGAAACCTGGAAGAAATAGGGGGCATCTGAGACCTGCCCCTGGGAGAAATAGGGGATTATATGGAACCTGAGGAAAATATATACGGACCCTGAGAAAAAAAAATCGGGCATCCAAAGCCTGGGAGATAATAAGGAGCAAATGCAACCTAGGGATAAATGTGAAATGCATGTTAGCAGCCTCTGATATGCAGGTTATTGGAAAATAGTCCTGATATTTCCTGTATTCCTGTATTTATTAGTTTTAATCTCGGATGGGCTAGTGGAATGAATGTTTGGGAAATGTTTCATTTCTCTGAAGACACCTACCTGGTTTTCTTTCCGGACGATTTGATGGGCTCAAAGACGTCCGAGGTGGGTGTGGAGTCCGTCCGCGACTCGTCGGAGACCAGCCGCTGCTGCTGCAGCCTGGGGCAGGTCAGGTCAGGGTCAGGTCAGGGTCAGGTCAGGGTCAGGTCAGGGTCAGGTCAGGGTCAGGGTCAGGTCAGGCTCAGGTCAGGCTCAGGTCAGGGTCAGATCAATGTCAGATCAATGTCAGATCAAGGTCAGGTCAGGTCACGGTCAAGACTCATGTCTGGGTCAGGATTGGTCTGGACAGGACAGGTTAGGTCAGAATTAGGTAGGAGTGGCTCAGAAAAAGTCCGGACAGCAGGATAAGTCAAGGCAGGGAGGGCGTTAAGGTCAGGGTAGGAGAGGTCACACCAGCTCAATGACATGTCAGGCCAGGGACTGGAGTTCCGGACAAGTGCTGGGCAGTGCAGGGCAGGGGCAGGAAAGCTCGTGTCAGGGCAGGAAAGGTAATGTGAGGGCAGGAAAGGCAAGATCAGGGCAGGAAAGCTCAGGCCAGGACAAGAAAGCTCAGATGCTGTTTTATGTGGATACGAGTGTTACATTTTGTCGCTTCGATAAACTGCACAGAAGCTCATCACGAACTACATATTAGGTATACCACGAATACCACGAATACATCACCTATGCCAGGCTTTACTGAAGTGTCAAAGGATAAAATTGCCATATATTGCACTGCGGCTAATTCACACCAGTAGGCCGGTAATTCGAGTAGTACTCTTACCCGGTGGTTAGTACACTTACTACCTGCTGAGCACGCTTACCATCTGGGGTGTACCCGCAGCGGGCCGGACGGTATAGCGGGGGAGTTCACCAGTACTCTCTGAGCGGCCTGAAAACCAACCGGAAAACGTGAACACGCACGTGAAACTATTAACCCTATTAGTGGCAGGGGGGGGGGGTTGTTTTTATCCACCCCTCTGGTTTTTCGGGAATATCTCCAAAACCGCTGAAGCTACGATGCTGAAATTTTCTGACTTTTCCTAAAACTAAATTGGGCACATTCCCTGAAAATTTCAAGTTCATAACTTTACCAGGGGCGGCTCCAGAGCACTGGGAATTGGGGGTCCTATTCGTGAAGCGAGTCATTTGGGCGAAGATCACGATGCTGCACCAGTTTTACGAACAGTGAATGAAAGGTATCATGTGATAACATATACAGTTATTGTACATCCTCTTTTGACACGTTTTTGCTATAATAGGCGGATCCAGGCGTCCAAAAAGGGGGGTTATGTTTTACCTCCCAACATAGGTGCCCTGACACCGCCTATGCATGACCAATACAATTGTAGTCGTTCTCTCATAAGAAAATTGTAACATAACAAGACCATTACCACCCTTTTTAGAAACAGTACCAACAAAAACCTTATTTACTATACTTTTTGTGCACCCCCAATCTCAATGATCTGTATCCGCCTATGATTTTTGCAAATGCATATTTTTAGGATCCATGTGAATTCCTGGTTTATTCTCTATCGATCGGCAAAAGTTGCGTTAAGATTGGTTCAGAAACCTGGCCGTGATAAACAGTCTAAAATGTATCTGCAATTTGCCCGTTTTTACCCCCCTCTATCCCCCCTATTGACATTTTTTAATTTTTATTTTTTAGAAATGTAGATCACGTTGAGCGAAATCGAATGCCGTTTGAATTTTGAAAATCGGCCCGTTAGATCTCGAGATATCAAGGGGGGGTCGTAAACAGCCCCCCCCCCCTGCCACTAATAGGGGGTAGCCAGGAGCCTGCCACTAATAGGGTTAACCCGCGCTCCGTTGAAGTCTGGCCGGTTCCAGGTCCTGTGCGTGTGGGGAGGGGGGGGAGGGGGCAAACGCCTTCCGTCGTATCTCCAGAACCAGTCGGATCGGAAAATTCATACGGCGCTCGAAAGTCCTATCAAGATGCTGCAAGATGACCTCGAAATTTGACCCGTGATGTCAAAGGGCGGTCAAACAAGGACAAATTGTCTAATTCACAATGAATAGAAGTCGGTCGTAAAAAGAAGTTCATGTTTCCAAAATGAGTTTGAATATGATTATGGACCTGATTATGGATCCTAGACCTGGCATATGGATAGTCATCTGAATGTATTATGACCTGTGACGTCACAAGAGGTCAGCCTCCGCAAACAGATCAGATGACACTTGCGGGAATCGTATGGAACGAGATCTGAATTGTGAATATTCAAGTCTTTATGAAGGCATGTCATTTATATGCCGCCATAGAAACCTCCTTGACCAACTTACTTTGACCTATGACGCCACAGGAAGGTCGGAAAAGGTCATATTGTAAAAGTATAAAATGAAAAAAACATTTACTTAAAGGTAGTGTGCCAGCTTTCTTGGACCGTATGGAGTTAATGGCCCAGATAAGGAGAACCGGATTTTTAGAACTTATCCATACCTTCAAAACTCATGGAAACGTCTTAAATTCTTCAAATTTTGAGTACCCCAGTGCGAAATTCGCCCCGACGGGTTGTCGGTCGTACCCCAACCACATTTCACACCACTATGAACAATAAATGCACACACTGAAATCGCTATTACCGATATGCTCATCCAATCAAGTTTCGATAAACCCGTTCATCATCAGCTCCTGCGGTTTCGAACACGCCTGTTAGTTGGCTTCTGATGCTCGTCGAGGTCGGAATTTCCAAATACGCGTGGTGCGTCGGGCCGCGCGCTCTGACTTCGGCCAAGAAAAATGCGTCAGCTGATCATTGTCATTTCTGCCACTTGCGTGTGGTGAAATGGGGTCATAACTTATAAGACGGCTTTTTCATATCAATTATTTTACATAAAATCATATTTCAAACCATAAATAATGTTCGACAGCCAAATAAAAGAAACAATACCAATACGGGCTTACAGTTTAAGGCTCGACATTGTGTTGTCTACGATTAGACAGCTGATAACTCATTCCCGTACGTCGTATGGTCGTAACACTATAATGACCTTTGCTTATTGTCACAAGTGCGCCGCATTCGCGAATGTTGCCCGACGCCTGTTTGCAGGTGAGCCCGCTACAGTTGTTATACATATCTAAAAACCGATAAACTTTTAGGCGAAAAAGGCACCTATTCCAGGTTTTTGATTTTTTTTGCGATATTAGGTAAAAACAGAAGCTTCTTATCCTAGGAAAAATAAAATGGGAAATCTTTCAAAGGTGGCACACTACCTTTAACCCTCGCCGGCACAGCGGGGTTGATGCAACACCCCCCCCCCCTAAGTTTTTTTCCGCAAATAACTTGCGTAAAAAACGGCCGATTGCGACGCCATTTTCAGTACCCTCGCGTTGATCAATTTTACAACCACTCTGAAAATTTCATGACCCACACCCAATTGCCCTTTGACTTACTTTCCGAGACCATGTTTGGCCGGAATCGCAATTCGGCGCTTGTCGGCTCGCATTAGCCGCGCGTTTGCAGTCTTTTCGTGGTTTCAAGCGTTCAAACATGCGATTTGATGTTGCTCCCATGCATCAGGGAGGATGTCAAGGTCACCTGAAGGTCAGGTCAGGTCACTGACGTTTGGCGACCACGGTCCACTTATTCGAGTTTTGCATGTTTCTAGGCCAGTTTTTGGAGCTGAATTCGAATTAAGCAACCATTACCTGACCTAGAAGGCCAACCTATGACCTAGGACCCTAAAATGGGGTATCATCGGCTTCCTCTTGTCACGGGCAACACGCTCGCCACGCCATATGATATGTGGAGGGATTTTGTTTTGATGTCAATGCATACATACATACATACATGCTTCTTTTTTCGGCGAAGCTCTAGCTCGAACAGGGGCCAAATGCGAGGGGGGTCGTACCCCCCCCCTCCCCTGTGCCGTCGAAGGACGCAAAATGGCCTGTGCCGGCGAGGGTTTAACCCTCGCCCTGGCAGGGGGGGTTCGATGCGACCCCCCCCCCCTAAGGTTTTTCGAAGATAGCGTAAAAACGGCGGCGTGCAGCGCCGCCAAATTTGGCACAGCCTATGGGGCAACCTTTTTACATGTGACCTGAAAATTTCAGGTCCGGGTGACCTTGGGTCAGGTCACCAGGTCAGAAAAACCGGTACAAGGTCATGGTCAAATTTCAATTTTCTTTTTGCACCTGTCCAACTCACAGTTTTGGACTGATTTCCTTCAAACTTTCAGGATGTGCTAGGTTCACCGAGTTGTATAACATATAGTTCGGGTTTTTTTGAGGTCACTGACCTGAGGTCAGTTAGAGGTCATTACGTCATAATGTTAAGCCTATGGGAAAATACTAAATTCGGAAAATACTGGAGATATCCGCTTCGTTCTATCACTTTTGTGCTTTGAAACCACAGTAATTAACAGCAGGTCACTTGGTGCTTCTTTGTTTGGTGTACTTATCCATGGGTCAGGTCAAATGAGGTCAACTGAGGTCAAATGACGTTTTTGCCAATAACTTGGCACATAATGACGCTAAAGCTTAAAAAATGGTATCATTGTGTTCCTGGTGATCAGCCGAATCGAATGATATGCAATATGATGCAATTTGGTTAACTTGAACTTAATTTATTAATTTAAGTTTACTTAAAATTTAAGAAAAACTTTAAGTACACTTGAGCAAGCTAAGAAGTGTATCATTCGACGCGCCTTGACATGCTGAGTTCACTGGTGCTTTTCTTTTTGCTCTATCTGAATTAGATCAAAAGTTATAAGCGAAAAACTTTTGACCTGTTTTTAGCGAAATTTTTACATTTATACCCCCAAAACCCCCCTAAATATTGACCTAGAGCAACCAAATTTGCACAGGGGCGAGAACTCCAGGGGGCCCACCTACCTACCAAATTTGGTGTTTCTAGGTGCCATAGGAGCCAATCGCGAGGGGGGGGTCGCATCGACCCCCCCCCCCCTGCCAGGCCGTGTTATGAAAAATGCCCTGCCAGGGCGAGGTTTAAAGTGATTATTAGCACGTAAAAGTAACCCTACTGCTCATATTTACACGGGAAGGGAATCGTATTGTATCATGTTTTATCATATGCACCATACTGCCCTACACTGATATAAACCCGCGCCGTGCTGGTCTGCGTTTTCCGTAGCCCCAGCTTGGGGGCATCAACCTGAATTCTAACCTCAGGGCACCAAAGTTACTTTAGTATTTTTTCTAGATCAATCTAGATCAAAAGCCCTCCTTCGAGCCCGCGAGTGTTTACCTTCCAGGCGGTGGGGGAGGGCATTTTTTGCCCCCCCCCCCCTTTAGTTTAACCCTCGCCGGACCTATTGGTTTTCTACATACGCGCCGGCCGAGGGGGGGGGGCGGGTACGACCCCCCCTCGCCGTTTCGCCCCTGGTGGAGCTAGCGCGTCGCGGAAAAAACGAGCGTGTGCGCCGTTACGAGACGCAGAGATTGGTACCCGATTTTAAGGTCCTAGGTCAACCGGTGACCTCTGAGGTCAGGTCAAGTGCCCCAAGGTACGGTTCAGTTTTTGGTGAATAACTTCGCAAAAAACGGCCGCAGAGCGCCGATTTTGGCAGCATCGTGTTCGTCTCGCTCAGGCGCGTCGAATGATATACTTTTTGTCCGGGTCAGGTCAACTTGGGGTGTTGACCTCAGGTCAAGGTCAGGTCAGCACCCCCAGGTCACGAAGTTGGTCGAAAGGGGTCATGTCGCATATCATTCGATTCGGCAGGTCTTCCTGAGTCCATTGGTGGCTTTCCCGGCTCGCTAGCTCAATTTGATCAAGAGTTATTGACGAAAAACTAATATGACCTTGATGACGTCATAAATGACGTCACGCAAGGTCAACATTGCAAAAAAGACGCATCTAACCTTGCGAGGAGTGCATAAAATCACGATTCAGTGTGCTTGAGATAGTTGGAGATCGTTCCCGGCGCCAGAATAGCAGTTTGAATTTTTCCCCATTGACTTATAATGGTGAGGTCACGAAAATGACCTGACCTCATATGACCTTTAGGAAAAATCCGAGATATACAAGTTGTGAGACTCATAATGGATACTAGATCCTGCAAGTTTCATTTCCCTGTGACATCTCCTCTGGCAGTGAGGGCGTTGCGAAGTTGCGACATCTGAAGACCGTGCAGAGGTTCACTTATGACGTCATAGGTCAGTGACCTGACCTGACCCAAAAATGCGGTTGGTGTCAAAAGATGCGGCTTGGATCAAAGGTCAGGTATGCCAAGTTTCAGCTCTCTATCGCCAGCGTGTTCGGAGCTATCGCGAAAAAACCCTATGGGGGGGGGGGCGGCACCCGCCCCCCCCTCGGCCGGCGAGGGTTAACCCGCGCACCGACGGGGGTCTGCGCCAACTTAGTACCGACGGGGGGGGGCGGATGACCGCCCCCCCCTGAGATCTCGAGAACGAAGCAAGATAGCGACAAGCGGTAAACGGCATCGGATACGCACGGTCAAGATCTACAATTTTTACTAAGGTCATTTTCAGGTCAGGTCAAAGATGACGTCACAGGGGTCGAAAAAGTCAAAATGGCGGCGCTAAATATGGAGAGAGTTTTTCTCGAATAACTTTCGAATTAGTCAAGATAGGAACAAACTAAGGGCATCATCGTGATCCTCTCGTCAATCCGCATCGAATGATATATATGTTGACCTCGAAAGGTCAAGGTCAAAGGTTGACCTCAGGTCACGTGACCTCGAGGTCATCATGTATATCATTCGATGCGTCTTGACGAGCTGAACACAATGAGACCATCCACGCGTCTGTATCTTGTTCCTGTACGGAGTTATTGGCCAAAAACCTTTGGTGACCTTTGATGACGTCACATGACCTCACAGCTGCCCAACAGCAAAACAGACCTCAAGGTAGTGAAGGTTGATCGTATATGAAGTCATGTATGGTATATGGGGCCATTCCGACCCGTTTTAGTGGTAAAAACAGGGAGTTGATTTTTCCCCCATTGACTTATAATGGGGAGGTCGCGAAATTGACCTGACCTTAGGTCACCGATATCAAAATTCCGAGATATACAAGTTGTAGCTACTAATGACCTAATAACATCCTGCGACTTTCAAAGGCCTCCGACATCTACTGTAGGTCTGGCACGGTGACAAAGTTGCAAAAAAGTGACTTGAGGTTGGGTCATTCAAAGTGACCTGGTGACCTGACCTTGAAAGGTAGGAGGTTCAAACTTGCACACCATGTGTAAAATTGATAAGGGAATAGTCATACCAAATTTCGCGGCGCTACGCGCCGCGGTTTTCCCGCTATTCACGAAAAACCTCAGGGGGGGCGGATATCCGCCCCCCGCCCCGTCGGTGCGCGGGTTAAGTTTCGATATATCTCCAGAATCGGGCACGCTTGACCATATTTCCGCCTACTGACCTGTGACGTCATCGGTGACCCAGAGTTCAATGAAATTTAATTTCCTTCGACAAATGTGACAGGGCTATCGAACGCTTTTTGAATTTAACGGATCCGTCTAGTAGTTTCGGAGATACGGGAGGGGGGAATGCCCCCCCGCGCGGAAGGTGGCCGGGAGGCCCACCGCCTGCCGGGTTAACCATAATGATTCAAGTGCATGCGACTAAAACATTTCACGATTCATCCTTCTTCCGAGCTCACCCATTCCACAAAAATTCCACATAATCATTCCTCGCTCATTCCACAGCACATCACTCAACCATCCCTTAACCCGCGCGGGGCTGGGGTCTCCAGCCGAACGCGCGGGGCTGGGGGGGGGGGTAAATTTTACCCCCCTGTTATCTCCCGAACTAATGGTCCGATTTGGAAAATTCAAACGCCAATCAAAAGCTCTCATCACGAACTACTAAAAACATGTACTTAATTTAAAGTTTGAGGTCAAGGTCAAGGTCAGGTCAAGGGTACAAATTGCAAGTTTCTACAGTATCGGCCTTGCACCGTAGTTGCCGAAGAATGGAGTCATGGACTGAGACTGATCGCCCAAAACGTGTTCTTAGGCTACCAAGACAATATTCGTTGCATACAATATCATTCAGAGGTCAAGGTCAAGGTCAGGTCAGGTCAGGTCAGGTCACCAAAAAACAAAATATAGAAAAGGGCATGTGCGACACATGTTTTATGGGTCATTTTACTCATAGAATTCAATAGGCACACTCAATAAGTGACATGGACCACCTCTGGATGAATTTCAGGTCGAGGTCAGGTCAAGGTCAGGTCAAGTGAGGTCAAATTTTGAAGTTGGTTGTTAAGGCCTAAAAAGGTGTCTATCTGATGCAGTTTTTCACGGCGAATCGAATGGTGCTAATTTTGTTTCCGTACGAGGTCTAGAACTTCTTAAAAAGTCATTTTTCAAAAAATTTGTGTGTCGTGACGTCATAAAATTTTAAATAACTCCCACATTTTTGAACCGATTCTTCTAAAATTTGGTATGTAGGTGCACATAGACCACTTCTCTGACATATATTCCGGTTTTTTCGATAGACTCAAAATTTCGGATTTTATAATGCTTTTCCCAAAAAAGTCAGTTTTTTGAAAAAAATTTAGGCCAAAATCCAAAATTTTCAAAAAACCGAGATAGCCATTTGATAGACAAAGTAAAATTACGTTTAACCTTTTTTGTTACGTCTTGATTCCTTTAAAAATGAAGATGTTAGCGGCGTTTGAACTTTTGCCGTTTTTGAGGCGAAAATGGCGAACATGACGTCACTAAAACGTCAATTTCTCAAAAATTTTCCGACGGATTTCGCTCAAATTTTCAGGGAATGTGTCAAATTGATGTAAGAAAAGGTACTGAAAGTTTGGCGGCGCTGCGCGCCGCCGTTTTTGAGATATCGCAAAAGTTCGCGAGGGGGGGGGGTAAAATTTACCCCCCCCCCAGCCCCGCGCGGGTTAAAGTTCACCCGTTCTACAACACATCACCCAACCATTCCAAAACTCGTCCATTCCTCGAATTCGCCAATCTAAAAAAAACTCACTCATTCCGCGAACTCACCCATTCCATGACCCCCATTCCGGGCACTCACCCTTTCCCTCCTCTCGGCCTCCTGGACGTCATAGCTGCCGCTGGATCCATGATCGGGGGACTCACGGACAGACATCACGCACCGCGCCACCGGCCTGACCGCTGCAGACTGCCGGCGGCCGGCCGCCCGCCAGCCGCCGCCCACCGCCCCAGGCTAGCCGGGGTCAGCCGGTCAGGACCGCGTCATACATAACTACGGTCGGACGCGCACGCTCGCCATTTCTGGGAGGTTCTAGCTCCGTCAGGGGCGAAACAGAGTGGCGTACCCCCCCCCCCTCGGCCGGCGCTTATGTAGAAAACCAATAGGTCTGGTGAGATGAGTGACATAAGTGAGAAAAGTTGCAGCAATCGTAGTCTTGACTAATGTATGAACACAACTGTAAAACCTTTAAGTTGCAGACTGCATCAGCATACCAGTACAGAGTCGGACATTCAGTTTACCCCGACGGTCGAGGGGGGAGGGGGGCGGGTGCCGGCCCCATAGTTTTTTCGCAATCTCATGGTAACCGAATGCGATATTACCTCCTTCGACCAGCTTTGTGACCTTGGGTCTATGACCTAACGACCCAACTCCGCGCATAACTATTGACTGACGTATTTTCCACCAGTAAAACGCCTTTTGGGCGAAGAACGAGCGAGCGAGATAGTGGGCCCTGCACGTGCGGAAGGGCGAGAGGGTCTTCCAACGGGGCTTGTGCAAAGCACCCTTCTAACCGGTCGCTAGCGGTGTGCCAAATTTGAACGCAATCGGCCCAGCCGTTCCTGAGATCTGGAAGCGGCATTCTGCACGTGCGCACGTGCAAACGGGGTCCAAACTGACTTTTGCACGGCACCCTACTAACCGGTCCCCAACCGTCTACCAAATTTGAGCGCAGTCGGCCCAGCCGTTCTCGAGATCTGGAAGCGCCCCCTGCACGTGCGCACGTGCAGTAGCACCCTAACCGCAACACATGGGAATGCATTGCCTGGTGGGTGCCTACCTGTATGCCAAGTTTCAGCGAAATTGCCCCAGTAATTACCGAGTTATTGAAATGGGAACAAATTTGGCACCTCTTCTTTTTGTATTTTGCACGTGCAGTGGGGGTCACTCACATAGATCAAGAGTATCCGACCTTTGGTAGAAGGGATGCAGGTACCCTACAAAAATTACCGCAAGGCAATCGCCCAAGCAGCTGCTGAGATATGAGCCTCTCAAAATCACTACTTTTTCAAAACAGCTTGAACACCCTTGACTTTTCACGTGCCACGTGCCACGACGGTCACTGAGATGTGTCAAAAGTAGTCAATTACGGGGTAGAAGGGATGGGGCTACCCAGCAAAAAAGACCGCAGGCCAATCGGTCCAGCGGTTGCTGAGATATAAGCCTCTCAAAAGCGTTACAGGCCGGGCCGGGCCGGGCCGCTCATACTAAGATTTTTCCGTTATATTGAAAAGACTTCGCTTCGCTCGCTTCGCTCGCTCGCTCGTAATAACGCGAGTGACTGGGGGGGGGGGGTCTACAGAGCCCCCCTCCTCTTTTCTCTGAAACTGGTCCGATCGTCAAAATTCAAAAGGCGTCTGATAGCCCTGGAAAAACTGTTTAACGATGCCTAATTTCATTGAACTCAAGGTCCCCGATGACGTCACAGGTCAGCTCAAAGTAAGCATATCAGCATTTTTTTTTCTTGGCTGGCATACAGATCCAAGGCGCATCTTGTGATACCAACTGCATTTTCAGGTCAGTCCATGTCACTGACATCTGACGTCATAAGTGAACCTCTGCACGGTCCTCAGATGTCACAACTTCGCAACGCCCTCGAGGCGCCCTCGAAGTGCCAGGGGAGCTTTCACAGGGAGATGAAACTTACAGGATGTAGTAACCCCCTGGGGTCTCACACCTTGTATATCTCGGATTGTTCCCAAAGGTCACATAAGGTCAGATTGGTCAGGTGACCTCACCATTACAAGTCAACGGGGAAAAGTGAAATCTGCCATTTTAGTGACGGGAACGATCTCGAACTATGTAAAGCACACGGAATCGTGATTTCATGTAGGTACTCTTTACAAGGTCCGATGCTTTGACCGTTTTTTTTTACCTAACATTGACCTATTGACCTGACCTCCACCAGGGTCCAGGAAGTGACCTAAACCGTTTCTGATGGTTATATAACCAGCACCATTGAGTTGGAAATGAACAATTTTGGCCATAAGACATGCATCGCACAGCCCTAGTAAAATTGGGTTAATGTGCTGACCCTTGGTGACCTGACCTGTGATCTGACCTGGTATTATCAGTGACCTCTAATCAGTATGTGTACCAGGCAACTGACGCCCTATCGCTGATTTTCGATAAAATGTGTTTTTCTCGATGTTATAGCCCTCGCCCCGCTGGGGGGGGGGCAATTTGGCCCCCCTTGTGGTTTTTCCGAAATAGCAAGACGCCAAATTTTCAGTACATTTCCGGGCATCAATTTGACACCTTCAAACCATATTTCAAGTCTTAGGTCACCTTAGGCCAGGAGTTATTGAGGTCAAACTGAGGTCATGTTCGAGCAAAAATGAGCAAAAAAAATGAAATGTTGAAACGCTCACAAAAGCTACAGTTACCTAGCAATTTCAAAGTTCTTTATATGGTAATGTAGAAAAAATAGCGCTACAAAACTGCCATCTTGGATTTTCAAAATTATTGGATTTTGACCCCCGAAAATTCAAAAAACTGATTTTTTTAGAAAAACTAAAAAATCAGTGTTTCCGAATTTCTAAAAAAAACGGAATATTTGTGATAGCCCCTGTGCTCTTCTTTACCAATACATACCAAATTTTAGATCAATACCTCCTTTTTTGGCCAAGTTATAGCGAAAACTTCAAAATTAATGACGTCATATAGTTAAATTCAACTTTTAGCAATTTTAGACCACGTAGCGCAAAACAAAAGCCACCATTGAACTCCCCGTGACGAGCTGCATCAAATCGATACCCATCTTATGCAAAAATATCAACTTTAAAATTTGACCTAATTTGACCTGACCTTGACCTGACCTTCACCGGAGCATAATCTTAACTGACCCCAAAGGCTGCCTGACCCACATAATCGTATTTGGCATATAAAATGGACCATAAAACATGCCTCACATAATACTTTCATATTGTGACCCTCAGTGACCTGGCCTCTGTGATCTGACCTGGTATCGGTGACCTCAAAAAGCAAAATATGCGTTTGACGAACATTTTCCCATCGATACTTTTCAACGAAATGCATTTTACCCGATTTTATAACGCATTTCTTGAAATGCCTGTAAACGGTGAAAATCCGACACTTGACCTGACCTGTGACGTCATCAGTTTGACCTAGGTCAACGAAATTGGGTCACAAGGTGATGGGGCTACCTTGTGACCCAATTTCGGGGGACTGACCCAATTGGATAGCCCCTCCAACACCGTTTGCCGCTTGTCGCTATATTACGTGGTTCTAGAGATCTTAGGTGGGGGGGGGGGGGGACCCGCTGGGCCTCCGCGCCACCCGCCGGCCGCTGCACGGGGGGGGGGGGGACATGTAGTTGCCCCCTTTACTTCTGCAACAATATCGTTGCAGGGCGAAGAGATAGAGAAGCGAAACTTTGCACACATCTTCCTGAATGCCTAGGCAAGGTTGTGTCCAAATTTGGTGTCGATCCCATTTGAAATGACGTCACAGTGACGTCAAAAGTCAAATTATAGATTTGCGACTTTCAGTGTCCTTACGATATACCCGATATATGAGACCGAACATAAAGGACCGATACTTGGTCAGGAACTAGGTCAAATCAAAGTCTACTTAGATGTTCAAGGATGACAGCAGGTGCTGTTTAGTTCATTTACAGTTGAGTTTCGTGCTCAGCGACATCAGGAATGGTCCATATCTGAAAACGACAAAACTTTCTGACGTCACTGTGACGTCATCTTAAGTGCTACAACCACCAAACTTTTTTCCAACATTGCCTCGGCATTCATGTGAAGCTATGCCAAGTTTCGTTTTGAATTCAATTTTTTAGCGATTCTAGACCACCTAGGGCAAAACAAAGACCACCATTGAACTACTCGTGACGAGTTGCATCGAATCGATAACCATTTTATGCAAAAATTTCAACTTTGAAATTTGACCTAATTTGATCTGACCTTGACCTGACCTTGACCTGACCTTCACCAGAACATACCTAATCTAAACTGACCCCAAAGGCTGCCAGGCCCACATCATCGTATTTGACATATAAAATGGACCATAATACATGCATCACATGATATTTTCATATTGTGACCCTCAGTGACCTGACCTCTGTGACCTGACCTGGTATCAGTGACCTCAAATAGCAAAATATGTGTTTGAAGAACATTTCCCCATCGATGATTTTCAATGAAATGCATTTTACTCGATTTTACAACGCATTTCTTGAACTGCCTGTAAACGGTGAAAATTCGACCTTTGACCTGACCTGTGACGTCATCGGTTTGACCTAGGTCAATAAAATTGGGTAGGGCGCGTTTCTCGGCAGAGCCCAAAGGGGCGCGGGTTAAAAGTACCGCACAAAGTGGCGGTGGATCCATCAAGCCTGACCGAGGAAGGACTGCTAAATTTGAGTCACCGAAGCAATGGACATCCTCGTCCATTCCCCTGGTCAATTGGTTCAGTGACGTTCAAATTATAGCAGGCCCTTCCTTGGTCAGGCTTGATGGATCCACCGTCACTTCACTTTTAAGACAGACTGTACGGTCAGGAGGGCGCCGACAGGTCAGGACTCAGGAGAGCCCTGTACGGTGAAAAAGGCACCGACTTGTCAGGAGGGCGCTGAAGGTAGAGGGCACCGTTCTGGAGGGCGTTGTATGGTTAGGAGGCCGCTATACAGTGAGGAAGATGGCGACAGGTCATGATGGCTTACCGTCGACGGCGCCTAGGCCCTAGAGTGTTCTGTGCTGGACACTGGAAAGGCGCCTTCGGTGCATGTGTCATAGCTATGTCTGTCATAGCTACACCGACTTATCGATCGCTTTGGAACTTTCAGCCATTGATAGGAGCAATAATAAAACGTATGTCTCGGAAATTTGGTATTGGTGACCTAAGGTCAGGTCAATTTTGCGACCTCCCCATTATA